CGGGTGTCCTTCGAAGCCAATCGTGTTTACGGCTAGTCGAGTAAACGGACATTCGTGGGAAATGAGATCGCGACGCGGCGCAACGCGAAAACGATAGCCGATTCTGGATACAAACGGATGACACACGGTTGATAAACGTTTCGGTTTCGGAGCTTCCTTAAATGAACGCACGTGTGCGACGCGACTTCAGCGCGCACTGGAAATTTCATTTCACATTCGACAAGGATGAAATTTCGAATGCAGATTAGTTTCTTGCGCAACTGAGCCGCCGCCACCGTTGCCTCCGTCCCGGCACGGCGACGCGACGACCGGGCGGCTCGGAGTACCGCAGGAGTTACAACCGCCATAATGCTTACGTTGTAAAAACTATTTGCTCATATCCGCGCGCGGTTATGCTCTATACGACGTTACTCTACATACGCAGATCGCATTAGAGCGCCAGCGATATACGCGCTGCTGAATTCTCCTTTCTTTTTTTCATTTCGTGAATTAACGCAACCGGCACTTGTCGGGAACAATTTAATTTCGTGTAACAAAGCATTCGCGCGCGGGACTTATTCTTGGCCGTTGTGCCCGGGATGTCGGTTAACCGACGGTAATAGAGAGACGCTCAGAAATAATCAGATAAAAAGATAATCGAGCGATGGCTAAATTTATTACGACGAAGATTGTTCGTTATGCCGATTGCAACGGGAATGGCGTTCGAATTGTGGATGCATTTATCATGCGACCGCGGCATGGTTTAATTTCCAACTGTGTGCATCTAAAAGTTCCGTAATTAGGAAGATCTGAATTTTATGCGTTTAAATGAACTCATTAGAAGGGAAAACTTCGCCGGACTCGGAGAATTTTAGATTAAATTTGAGATTGTTATATCGTGCGAAATATTCATGGTATATAACGATTTTATGCAATTTCTACCCGGCCTCTGTCGATTTCCGCGATCAATCATGCCGTGCGTGAAAACAAGTTGTATAAAAATTTCACATATAGATGGAAGAATAATAAATATAAGTACAGATTCATAACAACATTTCGCTTCCTATAAACCGAGCTCAAGCAAAAACAACGGGTTAAATTCACATATTTACGAGCAGATAATACACACACACTATATTATTGTAACAACGGCGAAATGTAATAATTGTCGAAGCAGGACGCGCCTTTCCCCGCTTGTCCCTATTCAATTACGAGACGGCGGTAATAATCGTGTGTTTCGCCCGAAAGTGTCATATATACTTGCACGATAAATGTTACAATAGCTTGGTCGTAAATTACCGAACTCAGGTGTACACGACTGGGCTTAGCTCGACGCGTCTGACTAATCACGGACTGTAACCACTGAGGTTACTCTAATACTTCAGAGATCCCCAATAATTTGCGTTCGGCCGAACGTAGCGTCCCTTCGTTACCCACATACACACGCGCACACGCTCACATACTGACACACGCACGCACACACAATACCCGCGACTCTTCGTCGTTTCTAATGAGAGGTTCCCGTCGTTCGTTGACGAAGTCGACAAAGCTGGTGTAACGTTACCGGAGATATTATTTATTACAGATAATCGGACGCCGACAGGGACACGTGAGACTCTCATTCGAGTCACGTCGTGTTCTTCTTCTTCGTGTTCGGTATTCGAGCGAATGTAAAACAGTATAGCGCGCTAGTGTTTCGCTTATACCGCAATACCGACCGCGACGAACGGAGAGGGTGGACGTGGCGAACTGAGCGGACGGGGAAGAGTTTTCGCTGAAAATTCGCGCAGAATGCACAAAGGCGCGTCTTAAGACAAAGAACCGTGGCGCGTTCTCGGCGTCTTCGTTCTGGTTTCAAATTGTCGTCTTGAACCCGTGTAAAACAATACAACCCGTCCTGCCACCGCGCGCAGGACCTGTCTATCCGTCGGGGAAGAATCGCCTTGTATACGTCTAATTACTCGATGGCATTGTTTGCGCGGCGCGCTCGTCGCTTCCCAGGCCGCCTTTTCGTGCGCCCGGTCTCTTGTTAGTCGAAATCCAAACTCGATATTACTCCGGCCCGTGTGTATCGAGTAAACGACGAAATCCGCTTTGAATAAAGTCACGTCGCCCGTGGTATATGAGCACGAGCGCGCGACGTTGGCTTTTCGTTTCGGGGCGGACGGCCGCATCGTAAGTGTTAACAACGGGATTTCGTAAGTGTCCACAGTGGGATAAGCCGCGGTTATTTCTCTATCGGTCGTTTTTCTTGCAACAAAGATATTCCCACGATAACAGACCGAGTCGAAATTTCGATGCTACTTTGACGCTCTTGAGGGATAATTAGCGCCTGCTTAAATGGCTTACATAGTAAACAATATTTTGCGTTAATATCGGTCGTCTGAAAAGTTTTGCGTTAAATCCTTAACATGTTTGTGTGTTAATTTAACGTATCGTGTTATCTCAATACTTTGTATTGTGTCGATATTCAACGTGTGACTGCTAAAATAACATATTTTATACAGTCTGTCTAATAAGAGCGTGACCAGGTTTCGCTTGAAAACTATTACATCAAAAAACTTTTGAACAAGAAGGACTCTTCCCGTAAGACACATGAATAAAAAGGGTCCCAGTCATGGTCTGATTTCCGCTAAAGAACGATGTGTTTGACGATGAGTTAACGATGAGTATATATCATTTTCAACGTCTTCCTCGGCCAACGCCTTGCGTCCTGCGAATTTACCGCGTTTACCGAATTGTGAATTGTCACCTTCGCACCTTGTAAATTCCGAGACGAAGGACGAAGGACAAAGAAGCGAAGAATTCGGGGACGTTTCGCCAACTTCGTGGCCGTGTCCTCGAGCATCGAGTTTTATCGCCTCGCCTCTTCGCGCTCGTCATATTCGAAAGTTGCCGGGCAAGGCCGCGCGATGGCTATTGCTCGTTGCGGCCGAGCGGAAGGGCTCGCCGAGCCTCGAGATGGAACTCGAGAATTCCACTTCCTGTCGCGCGGTCCAGTCGCGTCCGCACATGACGGATACACTTCGCGGTTCGTGTTGCGTGCACACCGCGGTGGGCGATAAATGTACCCAACTTCCGCCGTTTTCCGTCGCGGAGTTGTCGGCGGGCGAACTTTCGCGCGCGACGACTCTTCCCGACGGCAACTCGCGACTTTGCGTTTGGATGTAAGCTGGCCGCGCGGGGAGGCGAGCAATCGAGCGTCTCCGCATCAACCCTTCAACCCTCTCGCGCGTACTCGAGCAAGCGATACCTCCGACGAGACAGACGCACCGAGCAACCGGATGAACCGTCGGAGCGTCTGCTCCCACGCGATCGATTCGGTCGCGAGAAGCGAAGGGGGACGACGGATGAGCGTCGTCGTCGCCGCTTATTGTAAGCGCAAACGCAAGAAGGTCGATATGATTGTCACATCAATTTAATGTTATGATTCGAAGTGTCTAACAAGTCCCGCTAGCTATGCAGAGTACCGTAATGGAGTTATCAGTGCGCCGTTGCACAAGGGAAACTTGCCTGATTGGCGTTTAACGCGCGCAACACTCGCCAACCGGGTCGTCAAGGGCGACGTTATTGCCACACTTTCGCGCGTGCGTGCTTATCTTCATCGGCAATTCTTACACCTCGACATGCGTTGTCCCCGAAAACAACCATATTTTTCTCTCAGTGTAGAATCGACTGAACAACATTGTGACGAAAGTAAACGTTAAGTTTTCAATTTAAAATATTGATTGTTAACAAGGTTATTGTAGAAAATGGAGGTCATAATATCAGCTTCTCCTCTACCGTACGCTGTACTGTAATACCCTATATTACATATAGTAGATGGTACTAAATAATGATTTGACTGCAGTAACCAAACAATTTAGTTCAAAATATTTAACCAAATTTCTACCAAATCCTTCTTTCGATGTAACAATGTTCATATCGTCCGGGATTCCTTCAGGCCTTCAGGAAAGAAATATTCCGAGCTAAAACTTCACCAGCAATTGGATTCAGAAGACTGGATTACGCGAAAGATTATTTTACTTCCCGTGCGGGATTTGCACGCACCGAAGGTCCCTGCCGTGACCTCTACTCGCGCGATTCTTTTTCGATGCTTGATGTGACATCGCGGAAATAAACGAGCCGTCATCAGCCCCCAATATAACCGGAATCACGGCGGCTGCCCGTTTTGATCTGTACGCGAAGTCTAGATGAAAGGATCAGGGATATCCCTGCGGAATACCGTCACAGACGCTGACACGACTTTAATGTTTCCGTCAGTAATATATTCTTCCCCACCCCCTCGCCGCGCGTATCTACTTTATTATTTTTATTTTCTCCGCAGCCGCGCGAACACGTCCGAGACCAATAACGTTGAGGGACGGCTACAGCGCGCGCGATCAGACGGGATTAATGCTTAGAATCCTGTCGGTTATTTGCATATCGGCGATCAAACCGTTACTCGCCGTCGTAATAGATAATTTGAATAGAATCGATCGACGATAGGGTTCCGATATTCCCGTAAGTGCAATCCAGACTGCTGTATTCGTTATTCAACAACTGAGCGGTCTCTCTTTCCTTGTAATCACGTTTATTCATTTTCGATCGACGAATACGAAGATACGATGGGTTCATTTAATTACGCACGTCAATAATTTATACGCGAGCCATCGAAGAGACTCGTAGAGGATAGATTATAATTAGCTGACGCGACGTGTTCAATTACTCGGTTCTCGTTAAATAATATTTTTGTCCGTGTATTATGTGATAAAATGTACATATAAATGATATTCTATTAATTAATCATATAATAATGCGGCGAGCCCTCATATGTGTTCACTCTGTCAAAGATGATAATCCTTCTACGAATCACGATTTATACGAGTGCTCGCCGCACGTGAGATTATATTTCCAAAAGAGAACATTATAAGGGAGAGAGCGAGTATATACTGCATGATGTACATAGATGCGTGGAAAAAGTTAAAAAATATGACAACTAGTCACTGCGCATTTTTACATAGTAATGCTTCGCGTTGCAGCTGGATCCATGATTGCGGCAAAATGGTGGATCGGCAAAAAGCACTACTGATGGTGTTACTGGCACTGCTGATTTACCCAAACGACATCTTCGGTAAGTATTTTTATCCTTTCGACGTGATTCACAGATACGGATGCACTTGTAAGGATACCGTTTCATGAACAATGCAAAAGTGGAATGGAAAAAATGTAGCGAGGGAGTGACCAATTGGAATCATATTCTTACCAATTCGTTTCGATCTCGAAAGGCCGTGTTCCTCACATATAGGAAAAACAGAAATCCGTAAAAATGAAAAATCAAATTTTCTTGATTATTATATGATAATAATAATAAGGTAATTATAAGAAATGCATAAAAGTTATTATAAGTTTTAGGTTAAAATTCTCCATCTATTCTCTGTCTTTTTCCGTAAAATATGCTTTATGGGATACACAACCATTTGAAATCGAAATGGATTAATATGAATATGATTCCGAGTAGTAACTCCTCTATTACTTCTTTTCCATTCCGTTTTTTCGTTCCGCTCTTTCATTGTCCATGGGATGGCATCCTAAATAGTACATGGGCGAAATCGTCAGATTGATTGGCCATGTTAATCGCGCGACGATCATAAGAACCGCGGTAACGATCAGTGACACCGAGATAACGAATACGGGAAGCGCACGGGGAAGCTTGTAGTGACTTTTTGTAAAAAGAACAAGATTAATTCAGCGAAATCCTTACGAACGAGTGCATAACTTCCCGACAGATCCCCGCAATATTAGGACTACCGGTCGAGAGCGGAAATACGTATCACGTCACGCGAGCGTTCGCGTTTGCAGATTTCGAGAGTCGTCGAACCCGATGAATACGAGAGGCCACGAGATATATGTCGCGCTGTGTACGGGTAATTTTGCACCTAAGCCGCTCGGTGCGCACAACCACCTGTAAATACAATACCGAAACTAATCCGCTTTGAAACGCACACTCTCACGACGAGACATACGGCGATATTGGCCTTACGACCTCCCACTCTTTCAGTGAAATATTACTTTTTTTTTTTCTGAATACCAACGCGTGCTACGGATAAAATGCGGATAATTCGGTGTTTCGGTTTTTAAAACATCCCGTATTATCGCTCATTTCGCTTTTGCCGTTCGTACATAAATAAAACCACTGCTCAACACGTGCTCGCTGCACGATACCGTAGCACCCGAATATCGGTGAAGTTATCTGTACGTAGCGCGATGTAGCCACGATGCGAACGAAAAACTTCGAGCATTTCTTAGTGCACGACTTCGATGGAGGGACGGGGCAGGTGGGAGATTTATTTGATATTGGAATTTAAAAGGCTTTTCCCACGGATTAAGCTTTCGACAATGCAAATGGGTTTTCAGCTTGTTTCAAGTGGAGTTTATTTCAGAAATAGAAATAAAGCGGTTTTAACGGAGACGTGTCAGAGTGTCCAGTTTTACGTTTATATATTCAAATATCGATAATAGAAGCTAATTAACAAACCGATGAATCGGGATTATTTTGGCTATCATATTAATTATCCATTAATTTGCCCGTTAATATATATATTAATTAATTACTATATAAACTTAACACATGCCGTCACGTTGTTGGCGTTAATGGTCTTTGAATTATAAACGACCGACACGAAGTGGGCGAAGAGATTCCAAGCCAACGACAGAATCGAGCGCGATAAATGGCACATAAATTATACGAAAGCGAACGAAGAAATTTCAGCGGGCTTTGTCGATGCAAACGTCTAAAAGTTAAATATAAAATTATCGTCCTGCCGTTCTGAAGCGTTTCGGCGAAGAGTTAAACAGACAGTGCGAACGCTTCAACGTACAAGCGCCGAGTGTCCGTAGGAGAAAATAAAAATTACAATTTTAATAAAGAGTGCAAATACAAAGAAGAGAGAGAGAGAGAGAGAGGGAGAGCGAACGACGCGTAACGGTAGAGAAGAGGAAACGCAAGAACGGGGTGAAAGAGAATAGGAGGCTGACTGCGGGAAGAGATGGGTGGATATTATAGTTTGACGTAGACAAGAAAATTTCGCAAACTATCAAGGTTTTATCGCTTCCGCCAGTCGCGCATTCGCATGATAATTTCCACCGGGGCGAAACGTCTTCATAACGGGTGAATGGCATTTGATTACTGACGTCACTCAATTTCAGCCGACTACCCCTCGTTCCACTACCCCATTCCCTCCCATCCTCCCTCTCCGCCCCTTCGCTCTCGGCGGCGGGTAAATAAGATTTCCTAGAGGAAAACTAGCGCTTCTGGGATATTCTTTGCGGATCCGTTTCTCGCGAAAGGGACACGCCGTGACACCTGCACCCGATACGCATTCCCTTAACGACCAAGCATTTTTTCGTTCTCTTCGTAAATTGCCCAATTTGCATCGCGATCCTGTCGACGAACTGTCGCCGCGTGGGGAATCTTCCCTCAATCCATTAGATTTCGCTCAACCCTTCCACGATTCCATCTTACGTCCGAAAGTTCGCACATTCTGACGTGGATCTTCACTATTTTCAGCGCTTGTGGCATACGTGAGGAAAGCTATGTTCACGTGTATGTAGAATCGATCAACAGTTATATTCAATTTTTTGGATTTTAAAATATCAACGTACCGGGGTTAGAGAACGTTCTAGTTTTGCAAAACTGGAATCGATAGTCCATCATGCAGTGGCAAATGATTCGTTTCATCTGACGAAAACAGAGTATGGACGATATGAAACGCTCTTGACGCGCGGTTTATTAAGGCGAAAAGTTTATAATGAAATTTGATTACTCGCGCAAACCGCACCGTTCCATTGCGATCCAGTTCCAGCTTCGATTTAACACATGTCACAACTTATAAATGTTACTGATATGAATCAGCATGAACGGAAACATGATTCCACGGAACGGCTATGAATATCCAGTGTTCCTAAAGTGGGGCAATTTTTTTCTTCGGATTTGAAATTCGTCTTCCCTCAGCGACGAAAACGGCGTGAGAAAGGATAACCAGATATATGTTAACTAAATAATACCTAACATATAAAACTGTCTCGACTCGTTGATCACGGAGCACCGTAGTTTTATAATTAGAAATTAAATTACCTCCGAGTAGCTCGAGCGTAATCTAGAACGCTACTGGCTCGCGCTGCCCTCACGTGCGAAATAAATATGACACGGGCGATACGCGGCCAGAGTCACGATTGCGTCGAGTAGTTCCAAAACGAATCGGGTCCAAAACAAACCCGGAGGGGCTCCGTAGGAGATACTGCAGCTTCCGGATTGCGGCGGTAGCTGCGGAGTAGTTGCGACGCAACGGAGTACCTACGAAACAATAATTACGAGCGGAACGAAGTGCCGGTAGCGGGAAATGCGAGGTATTCCGTTGTATATCGAATATCGAGCGGTAAATGCGTGACGCTGAAAGGGATAAATAAGGAGCGGTACGTGCGGACTACATAGAAAAGCAGCTTCCGGCCAATCGGGCACTTCCGCTTATCGGCCGCTTAACGAAGGGTGAATGGAAAGGAGGGGTGGGCCATTCAGGAGCAGGCAAACGGAAGAATAAATTGAGTTGAATTAAATGAGCCCCTCCTTTTACGGCGGCTTTTCTAAAGGCGAGCGATGTCATCGATGAAACGGCGCCGTCGCGGATGCAAATTCCCGGCCCTATTTAAAAATTTTTTTCATTTAACCCCGGACACGCCACTTTTCATAAACGCGGGCTATCTCCCCATCAACTTTCCAAGTTTTTCCCCGCGCGGGAACTTCGCGTGAGAAAGTCGCGTTAAAAGAATGCGCTCAGTATTAATTCCAAACAAGGAAATACGTGAGACGTTTTACACCGTACGAGGTTTCAGTGTATAAAATTGCTGCAGAAACCGCGAGATTTATTCCTATTTTTTCAACAAAACGGCATCTCTTTGAAAACATCGGAACGTCGTACGAACGTTCGTATCTCGCGCGAGAAAACGTTTCATAAGTGGGCGTTTGTTTCGGAAGCGTGTCCGTCGGCGCGGAGCAATTTCGGAAAGCGACAAACGAGAGGATTTCACAAACGCGCGTCAATGTGATCCCCTTCTCTCTCTCTCTCTCTCTCTTACCCTCTCGAATTTATACGTCCCAATGAATTTAGCGGGCGTGACGCGCCCGTCGACAAAGCCCAGCTCTTTCGCTTATGTTTTGCATTACCGGCACCGCGTCGTCGAATCGTGACAGAGCTCACGGACGTCTCTCGTTACGATAGGCAAAGCTGCTTTCGCGAGACAATCGGAAAACTGAGACCGGTAGAAAACGATATGGAAAAAGGGAAGAGACGCAGAAGGGAGCAGAATGAAAAATGAGACAACAAAAAGAACAAGAGAGATAGAGAAAGTAAAGAGAGAGGAAGAGGGAGGGAAAGAGGGAGAGAGAGAGTTCCAGCAATAACGCTAGAAAAAATAATTGTCCTGTAAATAAAACATAGCTCATAACAATGTTGCGAGAGAGAAAAGAGAGAGAAAGAGAGATTCACGAAAGAATGTAATTAATTGCATGTGCCGGATCGCAGTAACATGAACAGTGCAATGAGAGAAAATAAGACCGAACGAAGCGAGTGAGTCAAAAAGAATCGGAGGAGAGGTCGCGAAGAAGGGCACGGAGGGGAGGAAAAGTAAAAGATACAAAACGAGAAAAATGAAACGCTGAAACTCCGGAACGACTTTCCGTCGAGAGTCGACTTCGCGAATATTTCTTTGGCCGGGCAGAGTTACGTGTGGATGGTGGCTGTTGGGTGACGAGATTTGTAGAGTGTCTGTTTGCTTGTTTGGCCGTTTACTTTGGCCACTCGCGAAGGAGAAAAGTGCGTTTGCAGGCGCGCGCAAGCGGCACCAAGGCCGGCGACACAATCTCCCGTTTCAACGCGAGGTATTAAATCACGCTTCTCTCTCTCAACTCGCGAAGAATATCATGTAGATTAATCGATCATTAATTTCTACCTACTCAGCTATTTTTCCGAGATTCATTCTCACCGAATCGTCTGGATATTTCAAGCTGTTTGGTTTTAGCGAACGATAACTCGATAAGCCGCATAGAATCGCATTCTCCGCTCGAGAAGCGAAAAA